TCAATTCTACATTATCTCTTAAATCTGTCTACCTCTCTCAATCTCCACTGCTTTCATTTCAGTCACCTCATCATCTCTGACTGCAGTAGGTTCCAATCTTGTCCACGTCCAATCCAATCTATGCAACCGAAGTTGTCATTTTTAAATGTTAAATATTACACATCAGTTCAAACCTAAAATCGTTTAATACTTCAACATTTTTTGAACAGGAAGTATCTGCAAAAGACACACTTTTTCATTATGATATAGTTCACATATGATACAAATTGAAAAATTTTAGGCAACATATTTTGTACATGATCCTCTGAAACACTGTTACATTTTCTATCCTTTTCTCAGATTGACTTCAGTACCTTTTCCAATTTGATCTACACTTAAAATCACTTCTTCAATACCTTTGCATTGTTTGTAAAATAAAATCTATTATGTTTACAGTTGCCTAGAAAGTCCTATACAATCTGGTTCCTACCTGCCTCTCCAACTGTGTATGTCACCCCACTTGCCATTTGCTTACTATGCTCCAGTCACATTAGTCTTCCTATAGCTCCTAAACACAGTTGTCCCTTGGTGTCCTTGAAATTACTGGTTCCAAGACCCAGAGGCAGAAATGGACACCCAAATCCACAAATGCTTACAGTCCTTTATACAAAATGGCACAATCAAGTCAATATGGTGAGACCTCATCTTTTTATTTATTTTAGTGTTTTTGTTTTTTGTCTTTTTCTTTTTTATCAGTTACTGGGGATCAAACTCACGACTGCCTGCTTGCAAGGCAGGCGCTTATGCCACTGAGCTAAATCCCTAGCCCCCAATTTTAGTGTTTTTGAGACAGGGTTTCACTACGTAGTTCAGGCTGGCCTTGAATTCATATCTACCCTCCTGCTTCAACCTCGAGTTCTGGGATTATAGGCATGTAGTACCACACCCAGGAAAAACATATTTTAAAAAATACGTGTACTATATTGGCAAGGTTAGATGGTACACACTTATAATTCCCATACTCTGGAAGGCTGAGGCAAAAAGACTGCAAATTCCAGTCCAGCCTAGACAGTTTAGCAATTTAGGCAGATGTTGTTTCAAAATAAAGAAATAAAGCATTGGGGATATAGGTCAGTGTGAACTCCCTGGGTTCAATTCCCAGTACTGCCAAGAAAAAAGGCAGAATATTTGCAAATAACATAGAAATGGTTGTCATAAAGGGCTAATGACAATCAAAAAGTCTGTACATGTTCAGAATAGGTATGATTTTTTCAAATATTTTTTTGATCTAAAATTGATTGAATCAGTGGATGTGACAGAAGGGTAGCTATACCATTTCCCTTCTTAGGGTCTTCCCACTTTCTTTGTCTCCTACCCCGAGCACTTTTGCCTCCATTCTTCATCCATGGACTTTCATTCCTCCAGTCTCATCTTAAATGTCAGTTTTGCCTGGCCCCTGAGGCTAAATAATTTACAGACTCATTATTTTTCTATCATTCTTCTGTCCTTTTATAGACTTATCACAATTTGTAATTATGTATCTATGTATTGTACTTCTGTGTTTATGCACATTCTCTTTGATACTAGACTGTAAACTTTAGGGCAGTTTGTTCACTACTGTCTTATCCAGGTCTTAGTATTAGATAGCTAGTGCTTCACCTGGAGCCTAGACCACAGCGTGTGCTCAAAAGACATTCATTGAATGAGCTGAGATTTGGAGAACAAATAAAATGGAATTAGGGAAAGATGGAGAAAGCTGCATGTAGAAGCATCAGCATATGCAAACAATCAGAGGCTACAGAGACTAAGGAACAGCCTAAGAATTTCAGTTTTAACTCATCCATAAATCTGGAAATGCTGGCAGGGAGCCAAATTATGAACAGGCCTGCTTAACCATCGCTGTAAAGGAAGGTCATTTTCCTTTTGAGGCAGTGGGGATTCATTGAAGGATTCTAAACAAGAGAATGTGATTTGATTTGCCTTTTCAAGAGATACACACTGCCTGCCTACAGTGTAGAGAATAGATTCCAAGGAACAAGAATGAAATGAGGAAGTTGAAAGTACTGCAGTTTAGGAAAGGTGCTGGCCAGCTGGGTGTGGTGACATCAGCCTTTAAATCCAGAACAGGGATGTTGAGGCTGGATGATTGGGAGTTCAAAGTCAGCCTGGACTACATAGTGAGACTGTCTCAAAAAGCAAAATGAAAAAAAGAAAGAAAGAAAGAAAGAAAGAGAGAGAGGAAGAAAGGAAGAGGGAAAACTATGATAAACTAAGCTAAAGAAGTAGCTGTAGTAACAAAAGACAACAATAGATTTGGGAGATATTCAGGAGGTGACAGCATTTGGTAATTGCCTGTGAGATGGAGAAGAGAAAAGAGCCAGGGGTATAACTCGAGTTGACTGGAGTCATTCACTAAGGTAAGGTGTAAAGGACAAATTAGTTGGGAAGAGAATGGCTTGAGTTGGAGGAGAGCAGAGACATTTAGGATGTCCCTGGCTTAGGTATTAAGGTAAAGCTGTCAAATAACCAGCTGTATATATGGGTCAAGAGGAACATGAACTTGGGGTGTGTTGCAGTCGGGGTACCCTAGGAAAACAATTACATACAAGACACATAATTTGTAGTATTATTTATAATGGTCACTCAAGGAGTCAAATACAAATAAAGTGCAGGAAAAACACACTAAAGATCCCCAAAAATCCAGATGAGGGCCTGGATCCCACAGAAATGTTCTGCATGTGTCCAGCTGAAGACCTAGAGCCTGTGACAATACCTCTCATGAGTTCAACTGGAGGCCTAGAGCCCACGACAATGACTCATGCAAGTCTGTTTCATGGATCTGCACTGGGAAGACCCAAAGGTCAATGGTGGAAGCTAGAAAGTCTGTGCCAGTAGGTCAAGGGTTCTGCACTGAAGCCAAGAAGCAACACGCAAAGTAAGGACCAAAGCTCCCCTGAAAAGTACCACAGCCATCCTCAGTGACAACAAGGTCCTGAGCTCCTCCAATGGTGAGAACAGCCATGTTCATATCAGGACATCTGTGTAACAAGCTTCTCCAGGAGAGTGAACAGCACACCATCTTACCCTATTGAGCAAGGAAGAGGTAAAGACCTCTCCCAAAGCGAACCCCAGTCATTCTTAGTGACAACAAGGTTCTGAGCTCCTCTGACAATTAGAACAGCCGAGGTCATATCAGTAAAGAAGTTTGACAAGCTCCTCCAACAGAACTTACAGCAACAGAACCAACAGCACCAAACAACAACACTAACTCTTCCTCCACAGGTATGCTGGCAACAATCCTCAGGTGGGCCATCTACACTTAGCACTACGGTGATTCAGTCCAGGTGGTGTTTAAGTTGACCATCAGTTTTCAATCCACCGCAGGGTGTCAGTTTGTCTTTAGCAAAGAAATGATAACCAAAGCCATGGGAGTAAATGAGATCACTGAAGGAAAGCACAAAGCAAAGAAAGAAGACAAGAGTTCAGGCCACATCTCTGACACACTCCTGTCATCCCAGCACTATGGGAGGCTGAAGCAGGATTCAAATTTTAAGCCGCACCTGGGCAATTTAGTAAGCCCTTGCCCCAAAACAAAACAGGCTGGAAATGTAGCTCAGTGAAAAAGCCCTGGGTGGTTCAACCCCCAGTACAGCCTCCCCACTACCCAAGCCACAATATTAGAGAATGGTCAAGAAGGAGCCTGGAAAGTAAAAAGGAATTACCAATGAAATGAGAAAAAAAAAATGAGAATGGGATGTCTTGGAAGTGGCTTAAGGAGGAGAGTGTTCACCAGTGCAAAATGCTATTCAGAATCCAAGTAGGATAACCTCTGAAAAGATTCTATTGGACTTGGTAACATAAGTCATGGTGAACCTTGATAGCAGAGCAGTTTCAGGCAAGTTTAAGTAGTGGAGGCAAGTTGGAGTGGATCGAAAAACAAGTGGGAGTAAGAAAATGAACACAGCTTAGTATAGGCAATACTTAGGGAAAGTTTGTAGTAAAAAAAAGAGGTGTTTGGAGAGGGTAAATTTGGGGGGGAGGCAATTGTTTTTAGATGGAAGGGATCTGAGTATATTTAGAGTTGGATGGGAAAGAGCAAGGGACAAATTCCTAGGCTTGGTGAAAAGAAATCAAGTGCTACCTGTGGTGGGTTCTGTTTACTTTGTGAAGTAGGAGGTGGAGTCATCTGCTGAGGATTAGGAGGCACATGGAGTTGGACTGGAGGGAAGAAAGTTTAAAATGGCCACTGCGGAGAATAGGAGAGGGAAAGAGGACTGATTAGTGAGGGATGGGGAGAACAGGAGAGAGCAGACTATAGGGTTGTAGATTAGCATTCTGAGCCCCATAGGAGCTGAGAAACATGGGTTTACACGACACAAATCTATGAAGTTGAATAGTTTTCTTCTGCAATGTTTAACAGCCTCTGCACAAGCAGGGAAAAGGTAGATAGTAGAACTGATCCAAGGTTGGGATGTTGCCAGGGGGATGAGACAAACCAGAGAACTGAAGCTATTGGTAAGAGAGTGGAAAAGTAAAGGAGCAGGAGGTCTGGTCTGAGCAAACTCCTAGATATCAAATACAGGTCTGCCATTACCCAAGCCCTAGGGAAACTCAGAAATGTGTGGAAAGTCTTCTGGGAAAAAAGAGGCGATGGGCAAGCAGGGAAAGGAAAGAAAATTTTGAGATGAGATTAAGGCAGACTTGGAGAATTGAGTTCAGAGATGTGCCTGTGTGGAACCAGGAAGGGATTGGGAAGGTAGGCTGAGCGATTTGTTTGTTTGTTTTATGAGTCAGGGTCTCGCTATGTAGTTCCGATTTGCCTCTTGCTCAAGGCGATCCTCCTGCCTCAGCCTTCCTGAGTGCTGGGATTTATGGGCAAGTGCCATCACGTCCTGCAACACAGAGACAAATTTTATGAGGCAGAAAGAGGCCCTGGAGGGCGACCTCAGGGAGTAGTGAGGCGGGTCAAAGCGAGGGGGCGTGGTCAAGCACAAATCCCGGGCAAAGGGGCGGAGCCCCGGGTAACTGGGTCCCAGCGCCGCTGTGGCTGCGGCAGACTTAACGGCGGCTCCCATTTCCCTGCCCCTCCTTTTCCCAAGGTTTCTTCCCGCTCGCAGCGGCGGAGACCCAGGCTGAGCTTGGAGGATGGCTGAGTCCGGCCCAGGCGATTCCCTTGCTCCAGTGGCTGGAGACTCATCTAGGAGGACAAGCTAAAAGGCTAGCCCCGCAGCCCGAGGGCGCGGCATACACGCGCTCCCCCAGGCCAGCGCCTTCCTCTATTCCCTCCCTTCCCCTCCCCTCCCTCTCCTCCACCCCCAGCCTCTGTTGCGGAGGGAGGAAGAACCCTTTCGGACCAGCCTAGATAGGTTCCCATTCCGAGAGAAAGAACAGACTCTGTACTGGGATCCGACTGGGCGCTCGCCTCGAGGCCACGGAAGTGACTCGCCGTCCACCGCAGAGCCAGCACCGAGTGCAGCTGGTCAACCGCAGCCGCATAGACAGCGCTCTCCAGCCGGCCCCTGGCTCGGCCGAGCCTACTCCCCGCCTGGGGCCAGGGCCGGCGATGCCTGGCACAGCAGCTTTGGTGGCCGCGGCTGCTGCTGCTACTGCCACGGCTGTTGGTCCCGGCCCGGGCCTGGGGCACGAGTCTCCTCAGTCGGGCTGAGTCCGCAGCCCCGCCCCCCCTAAGCCTGAGGCCGCTGCTCCACCGGGCGCCGGGCCTCCTCCGTCTGCGCCTCCGCCCCAGGAGCTGGAGCCAAGCAGGGAGCCCGGGCCCCGCACCCAGGCCCACACCATGCATGGCCACAGAATCCCGGGGAACGCCGGGCCTTCTGATCCTGAACACCCGACCACGAACCCCTCTGGTGCCGCTCCACCGGCCTGTGCCGACTCAGACCCTGCAGTCTCCGAGCCGGGACTGCCGGTGCGCAGGGGCTCAGGCTCTGCTCTCAGCGGCCCCCCGGAGCTCCAGTTTGCCGGACACTCGGACACCAGCCTGGGTGCTGCTGCAGGCCCCCGGGTCTTGCCCTGCGGCCCCAGTCCACAGCACCACCGGGCCTTGCGCTTTTCCTACCACCTGGAGGGCTCACAGCCTCGGCTTGGTGAGTTATTTGAGACAGCATGGGAGCTTGGGCCCCGGGACTGGAACTGGGAGGGGGTTCTTGTTCTAGGGCCCTCTTAACCCCACCTTGGGGCCGGCCCGCTCACCCTAGCCTCTCCTCTCACTCATCCCTCTGCCTGCTGTCCAGTCCTTTTAGCCTCTGTCCCCTTTACCCTTTCTCTGTCCCGTGTCCCTCAGCCTTTCAGACCCTCTTCTATCTGCTGAGGCTAATGGGAGAGGAAGCACTGAGAAAAAGGAGTAGGCTTGCAAAGCATCCGTGGGGATGTTTGGGAGAATAGGATGTGTAACTGGTGGGAACAGGAGAAAGGAGTCTCACATTAGCCGAGTACCTATACTGTGCAAGGCCCTCTACTCAGTGTTTTACATGGATTCTCATTTCAGGTTCAGTATTCCTCAGTGAAGTAGATATTACTAATCACATTTTGCAGGTGAGGAAACTGTGGCTGAGCGAAGTTAAGTAACTTGACCAAGGTCATATGTTCAATGTGGAGCCTAGATTCAAAACTAGACCTATTTGAGTCCAAAAGTCTGTGGTCTTTCCACTTCCCCAAACTGAGACTGGAGACCATGAAAGTAATGCCAAACCTTCTGCTTATGTGATTTTCTCCTGTCCTATTCATCAGCCCTGCAGTATGAATAGAAAAAAAAAAATAGTGGGATGGTAGATTGATCCAAGATTGGGATTTCGCCAGGTGGATGTGGCAGGAGGACAAGAGAAGGAAAGAGTCATAGGTGCTGATGAGAGAGAAAGGTGAGAATCAGGCTTGAGTGGCCAGTAGAGAGGGAAGAGAGCAGAAAGATCAGAGGGGGCATAAAAGCCAATTGTAGCAGAGCAGAAGTGCTTCAAGGACCTCAAAGATGGTTTGTGAGGATAAATCAGGATAGCTCAAATCCTGCTTCTATTTAAGACAAGCCAGAGACCACTGTCGGAGAACCTTTTGCACTGCATAGCCCTGAATGTCTCAGAAGCGCAGCAGTACACCTCCATCTGGGCACATTTTTATGTGAGCCATGGAAGAAGACCAATACACATGTGCCCTCCTTCTACTGGTACCAAAGGAGTTGTTTAAGCCTCTGAGGACTTTTTGGGCTCACATTTCAGGCTCTACAGGTCTTTGGGACTATGGTCTAGCACTAGGTAGCAATAGTGAAACATAAACATGGGCAAGATGTGTCCATTGCTGCTGTTGTGACCTTGGGCTAGTTGTGGAACTTCTGAAAGATTTCAAGGAGCTCCCCTGCGGGCAGGAGATAGCTAACTGATCCTTAACGCCCTATTCTTCTTGTTTCTTCTGCTGGGTTGCCAAACTTCCCTTGACATACACTCTGTAGAGGGGGCTACTTATACTTGTTTTACCTATAGTGCCTTCTTTTGTATCCTAAGACACCCACAAACACTTCCATCACAGGGTCTTTGCATTTGTTTAGCCTTTTGTCTGGTAGCTCTTCCCTTAGCCCTCCACCTGGCTTGCTCCTCATCTTTCAGGTCTTAGCTCAAATGTCACTTCTCAGAGACCTTCCCTGACCACATTAAGTAGGGCCACTTGTGAATCTTTATCACAGCTGCCAGTGTGCTTCCATCTTTGCATTTAATACAATCTGAAATTACCTTGTTGTATGTGTCTACTTGTTTATTGTCCATCTTCCTTCAATAGAATATGAGCGCCTTGAAAGCATGGTTGTGTCTGGTTTTTTTTTTACTGTTGTATTCCCAGTCAATAGCATACTATCTGGCACAAAGTAGGTACTCAATAAATCCTTGTTGAACAAATGCCTGAACAGATACTAAGGAAGCAAATGTAGGTCCTTAGTAACTGTTGCCTGAGAGACTCTGAATTCCTGCCCTTCAGATATTCTTGATCTGAGAGTCAGTACCCAGGAGTGTCTAGACCTCTGGTCTCTGCCTTCTCTGGTCAATACATGGTGGTGTTTCTCAGTATTCCCTCCTCCTCCACCAGTCCTTCCAAATTATAAATCACAACATCCTTCCCAAACTGCTCCCTTCTCTCCCAGAAAATATTTCCAGGATACATTTCCCCAGTGAATCTTGTGTCTCTGTAATTGCATGGTAGATATCTTTTTTTAAAATCCAAAATGAGAATTGGAAATAAGTGTGTCAGGGAAGGACCTGGTCTCCTCTTGCCCATTTGTAACTGACTCACTATGACTCCAGGTGAGTGAATGACTTCTGAGTGCCAAGTTCCTGATCTAGAGAATGCTATGAGGAGTCTATGAGATATAGTATTGGATACAAAGCCTATGGCATAGTATAAAACCTTCAACAACTAGGAGTTTAAAAAATAAAAGAGAAGAGAGAAAAACCTGAAGAGGAGGCGGAAGAATTACTCAAGCCTTGGCAAGGCGGGCAGTGGGCCATGTGATTCACAGCAGCTTGGGTTGTGAGAGGCCTACTTTCCCCACTACCCAATCAGCCTAGGGATAGGCACAAGTGACTTGCTTCTCTCCAAAGGATTTACCTATAATTGGCCCAAACAAGGCAGGGTTGGTGGTTGTAGGGTGTGTGTGTGTGTGTTGTGTGTGTGTGTGTGTGTGTGTGTGTGTGTGTGTGTGTGTACATGCATACACTAAAGGGAAAGAAACAGGGAGGGAGGATTTCCTGAACTTCAATTAAAGGGTTGAAACATTTTAGTCTTCATGTTAAGATTTTCAAGACTGTTGAAGCCTTTATTGAATCATCATCCTTAGGACCTAGTTGCCTTTGCTTGAGGGGAGATTTTTCAGAATAATAATTATATCTTATTCGCGTAAAGAGCCTTGAGTGGCTTCCAACTCCTTTCTTTTTTAGTTGTCCTATCAACTTCCTGGTAAAGGGAAGGACCATTGCTATTATGCCCATTTTCCAAGTTGATGAAACCTAAGGCTTTTATTGGGTTACTGGGAATACCCAGTGAGGTATCAGAGAGGGCTTTGAGAAGGTTGGAAAGGGGTTTCAAAGTACAAATTAGCACACAGGGATTTGATTTTACCCTACCTTATTCCCCAGGATTGAGGCCAGATACTGGGAGTTGGGGTAGGGGTTGAGACCTGACCCTAACTCAGTCAAAGGAATTGTACCTGATATTAGAGCCTTTTTGTGTGGTAGTGGGAGAAACTGAGCCAATTTGGGCGATAGTAGGATGGGCTGTCTCCTGATTTGGACCGTGGAGCATCTTCAAACACTCTAAAATAAGAGTTAAAAATGCTTTCTAAGTTGGAAGGTGGGAGTCCCTAGATGCTGTCTTGTTTAGAGTTTCCCAAACTGAATGAACATCAGAAACACTTATTGACCTTAAAAAATATTACTCCCAGGTTATACTTGAAGTTCCAGAATCTCGAGGTCAGAACCCAGATATCAAGTTTTAAAAGGTTCCAAGTAACCCTGTTACATATCCTAGAATGGAAGCTACTGGAAAAACCGATTTTTGAGTTGAGGTAGTAGAGAGCCAGAAAGCTGATGATTGATCGACTAACTGATTTTCAAGAGGCAGTGATTTAGCCATCATCTTACAATGAGTCAGTATCATTAGGGCCAGCAGAATGCACCTGCCTTCTCCTGTGAGGTTCTCTCCCCAGAGCCCTGTGTAAGATTCTCTAGTCAGTCTCAGCCCAGAAGAGAGGTATGGGATCTAAGAAAAAGGGAGTTAGTCTCTCATCCATATGCACCCAAACATTGACTGCCTCATTTTGCCTCTAGCCCTAGCTAGTAAACGGCTGCCACTTAGTAGTTCTAAGTTAGAAGGCAGCTACAGCCCTGGAACATTAAGCAGAGTAAATCCTGGCACCAACATGACCCTAACATAAAGGAAGGGCTCTATAGTGACACCAGGCAGTTCGGGTAAGTTTAGTGGAAGCAAAGGCATGGAGATATGGAGCATGGAGCTGGTATATGCATGAGTGGCGAAGGACTTTCTCCTGATTGCAAATAGGAACCATTGAGGGGAGGGGTTATCAACGGAGGAATGATGTGTGTGTTCAGATGTGTTCCCTATAGCTACATATGAAGAATGGATGGAAAGGGTACTGGAGTGGAAGCAGAGAAACAGGCAGGCAGGTATAGCAGTCATTCTAGTAAGAGGTGATGGTAGCTCAGGTTAGAGTGGTGGCTGGTAGGGAAAAGAAGGTCTGAGAGATACTGCAGTGCTAATATGGACAGACTTTGGTAGTGGCTTAGATATAGAGACCAAGAAAGAGTAAAATGTCCAGATCATTGTGGGTTTTCTGATACCAACTAGAGTGATCTGATGGATGAGAGTGGGGCCATCTACATGCAACAGAAGGAGCAGTTTTAGAGAAAAATAGTGAGTCATTTTTGAGACATGGATTTGAGAGGCATGGGAAAACATCAAGGCAGAGATAGCTAGCAGGCATTTGGATGTGGGATTAGAAATTTCAGGAAATAGTTGTGGGCCAGAGATGTTGAGCATTTTTCACCACCAACACATGCCATGGCCTGTGTGTAGCTCATATGGAAAGTGTGCATGTTTCTGAGAGACAGTTCTATCCTTGAGGTCAGCACAGTCACATTCAAATGGATTATTTGCCTTAGAAATGCCGCTATTTTGGGGAGAGTACAGTAGTTTTTAAAGTATATTTGTGCAGTGTTGAGACTCACTTCACATATATCCATGCAGGGTAGCTGACTTTTACAAGAACTGAGGTAGTACTCCTAAAAGCCAAATCAAACATTGGTGAATTCATGTGGCTCTTTCAATGCTGTTCCTGCTCAGGGCATCTAAGAGGCCCCAGAGGAGGTTTATTCATGGAATGCAGAAGAGGAGGCTGAGTACAAGAGGCTCTGGCGAGCTGTGTGAGGATTTTTTTGGAAAGCAGTAGTTGAGATTTCTAAAGCGTTTAGGGAAAGACCCAGATGTGGTTCCTAGTCAGTTAGGGCCTTCCAAACAAACACAACAAAATGTACACCCTCTGGGTAGGTGGACAAAGGACTTCTTCAGATAAGACTTAAATTACTGAAGTTTTCAA